CCTATGCTTTTTATACCTTATTAGAAGTAATTTTTTTCTGCAACTGCTATAAAGCTGGTGAATCAAAGGCAAGTCTAGGCAGTAATTGCATAAGTAGAAGAAAAGTAATTCTGGAGTTCATTACAGATAAGGTGATGAAAATCTCTCTTCTCTTAATGTTATTGTGTAAAATAATACTAGGATTTCTATTTGATCATCAGAAAATAATTTCTTGAATTCTATAGAAAATTCAAGATAATTTGGTCCTTGTAAAGAGACTTGTTGCTATAATACTCATTAAAAATTAACCTACGTGATAGTATAGAGTAGACCCATATATTTTTCAAATTTTTTTAAAATTTAAAATATGGCTGCCTCTATTTTGTATTCATTGAATCATTTGCTTATATAAAAACATGAGACTCAGTGAGCAAATATATTTCTGCGAGTTTTTAAAATTCAGATATTTCTGTAATGATTGCTTTATTAAGAACCCTGATTACTTTTATTAATAAGAACTGTTTGCTTTTCATATACATAATGGTATTATAGAAGAGATATATAAATATTATTTAAAGCTAAGCTAAGATGAAAATCTCATGGACATGTATGCTTAAAATAATAATGTCACACACATGACTAAGCTTGGTGGATAATTTTTAAATGTACAAACTAATTTCCTCCTACTTTTTGTTTTCTCTTTTATCCTTTTTAAAAGCCAACCCCAGAACAAAAAACTTCTCTGCTTTGTCTGCATATCTTTGGCTGTGTTTCACTGTGACATGCACTGCTGTTCTTTTAGCACCAAAATGTTGGCACACACTCCTGAAAATTTCACACCATCTCTTGCTGGATCAGCAAGCTTAACCCACCAAAATCTGGTGTTGTGCAATGGTTTTTGACTGATAATCAATCTTTATGCTGCTCGACAGTTGTTGCTGGGACACAGAGTAGAGCAGGTGGCAGATGTGCCTTGTCTTTTGAGAAAAGAAATTGTAGGTGAGCTTGGACACAGACTAGCATATCACATGTCCATTAAAAAGGTTTAGGATAAGTATAAAGGGGAAAAGCCACTTGTCTAAGCTAGGCTTATAGATAAGCCTAAGCACTAATATTTGGTTTCTTTCAGAATGTTAAGAATATAAATCTTATTTTGTTTTAAATTTTTAAAAATATTTAAATACATAGTGACAACCTTATGACAATCTTATCCTATAAAAAGTTATGTTGGGAATACTTTATATACATAGGAACAATCTTTAGGTCTGACATCCATTTTTAAAAAACCCTGTGATAATATTTATTTAAAAGCTTTTACTAGTTAGCATGTACCAATTTTTGTGTTTTTTTTTTCCTTCAGGGTTACAGAGTTCTCTCCTTTAAAATTTCAGTTGGCCCAGAATTGGCATAGACTGTCTCAAAGACACAAGCTTCAACCAAGAGTGATTAAAGTAACAGCTTACAAAAATGGATCTAGAACAGTCTTTGCCAAAGTTACTGTACCAACCATCACCTTGGTAACTAGTGTTCCAAATTTTTCAGTGCTTCCTTTTTTTCCCTTACTGTCTTTATAATATGAAAAATTAGAAAGATGACATTTAGTGTGTTAATATTTTCTTTTTAGGAATCTGAATCCGTAAATTGTTTATATATACATAGATCTCAAAGGCATTTCACTGCTTTCCTTTTTTAAAAAATCAATTTATAAATAGTGTATTTAATTAAACAGATGCAATGGCATTATATGTTTTGTAGAGTTATTAAAATGACAGATCATTTAAGAATTAAAATTAGACAGTAATTAGATATTCTTCATGCTGTGATTGATTTACCTTTTATTTTCATATTTTCAACTGCTAGAAAATAAGTATATTGGTCCAGTTACTGAACTTGGCAAGAAACTCAAATGGGTTTCTATTTTGATCATCAGAACATTTTGTTTTGTGGAAATGTGTTACTTTGTTTGTCGTAAATCACTTTGTCTCACCTCTTGCTTTCTTCTAGTTGCTGAAGGAGTGCACAGAAAAGCTGAATCTGAACATGGCCGCAAGACGAGTGTTCTTGGCAGACGGCAAGGAAGCCCTCGAACCTAAAGATATACCCTGTGAAGCCGATGTTTATGTTTCAACGGGAGAGCCTTTTTTAGATCCGTTCAAAAAAATTAAAGGTAAAAAAGAAAAATATATACCCTACCCCCACACATAGTAAATTGCTTAAGGGGTGCAATTAAAAAATGATTTTCATCCTGTCTTTTTTGCATGGTTTAACAAAACTAATGTTTACGCATTTACAGCTCAGTAAGAGGATAATGTGCTTAATGAAAGAAAAATCCACTGACAGCCACGTTTATTGCCCTTCATTAGCATTGGTGCTTAATTTAATATAGATCTGAATAGACATTAGGGAGCCCGCAGGAGGTTAAATGGTGAAAATATAATAAATTAAATCAGAGATTATTGAATTTACTGTTTAGTTTCTGTGACACTCAACAGACATAATTCATTAGACTTATTCTCTCAGAAAATAATTCAAAGTTTCAAATATCATTTATTCATTTATACTCTTGGTCTTTTTTCAGATGGTATTAACGTAATTATGAAAATGTGGCCAATAATGAACATATAATTCTTATACACATGTGATTCTCCTAACATTTTTCATAATAATTGCTACAGCTTGATTTTTTTTAAAC